GAACCCTTTGCACTATTGGAGGGTACCATCTGAGTGTGGCTGATCCATTTGGGCTCTTATCCAGACCTGTGACTACAAGGGTACTGACAGGTGACAAAGAGTATAGACCCATCCCTCTTTTTAAAGAAATGGTTATAAAAAACAAATCACCATATTAAATCACATATCAAATTATACAACTAAGAAACTATGGCTTTGTGCAAGATATGACAGCTAAAAGCACCCTCCTTTCTTTCTCAGGAAAATGGGGATCATAATAGTGTCTTCCCCAGGGGTGGTTGTGAAGATTAAATGAGATAATCCATGTAAATGCTGAGCATAGTGGCGGGCAATAAATATGCCTGCTATTTTGATCTGCTGCCTCTCTGCAGCTGACTAGGATATATGTGGCACATAAAACGATCACTAGAGAGAACCACAAGCTAACTGATTCCACACTAAAAGGAAACAAAAAAAGAGTAAAACTGCTGTAGAAATTTATTCCTTAGCTTAGACATTGGTATGTTTCTACATTGCCTGTGCTATAACTTAAGCTATAACTTAATCCAGTGAGGTTTTTGTTTTTTTTTTAGAAAAACAACAGTATTTTATAAATATAATCTCTTCCTTACCTAAGAGTTCTGTCATGCTAGATGTTTCTATTTTGGGGCATGTTTGTGCATATTCTATATTGTGGCTAAAGTTTAAATAGTTTTTTCCTACTTGAAAATAATTTTTAAGTATAATCTGTTCCAAAAGCCTGTTGTAGACTATGACATGATTTTCCATTACAGGTCCCCTGTCCCTTCCAAAAAGCACTGTGAGCACCCAGCAACATCATCTTAATGTGCAGTAATCTTCTTCCTGCAAATCACTCTTCATCTTACTCTGACTTCTGAATAAATATAACATCAGAATTGTATTTTCCCTCAATTTTATAGCAGTCTTAGAAATAACCCTCAGTTTTGCATTACTTCAACTTGAGTCTTAACGTCTATATGAATATACCTCAAAGTAAGAGTTTCTCTCACACAATCTAGAAATACTAGTATTTTTCATCTGCATAAAGTGAAGAAGAGAAATGATAGCATATTAAGCAGCCGAGAATACCTCTAATTTAGCAATAAGGCCCAATAATGACGCTATTTAATCATGTTGGAGTTCTCACTTTGGCTGCAGTGGAAATTATGTACATGGAGCTACTGTCTGCCAGAATCAATATCATCAAACACCTGAGTTACCCGTTCTATTTTCCTCCCACACATTATTTTAACTGCGAAGCCATGCTTAACTCCATCTTCCCTCCTATTTATAGCTAGGAAGTATAGGGCAGTCTCAGCAACTTACTACAATTGATGGTATATTCTTCTTTACTTTCTCCCATTATTTTTAATTTTTGTAATTAAACTTTTTATGTCAAGGTAATTTAGATTCATATCAGTTATAAGACAGACTAGAGCTGCCCTGTAAACTTCACCCCACCTTCTCCAGTAATAACAAGCTGCCAAATTATAGGATGATATCACAGTCAAGATACTAATACTGATATAGGCAAGACACAGAACATTTCTTTTTTAAAAACACTAAAATTAGGGAGCAACAGAAAACTGAAACAGGACTGTGTGAAATATAAGGCATAAAATTAAGAACAATTAAATGGCAGAGACTTGGTAGCAATTTGCGGACAGTTCACAACACAAAGTGAAACAAAGGGCTTTGACAGGTGTCACAGGTCTTTCCATCCCCACCAGGACGCCCCAAGTGGCCTTTTTAGAGTCACACCTTCTTCCCTTCCACCCCCAGCCTCTCCTTTATTATTGTTGATTTGTTCTCCATTTCTATAATTTTGTCATATCAAGAGATCTACGTAAATTTTGTCTCAACTTTGGTAATTTGGTTGTTTTTTTTTTTTACTCAACAATTTTCTGGGGATTCTTCCAATTGTGTCAAAGCACTCGTGCGATGCTTAACAATGGGATATGTTCTGAGAAATTCATTATTAGATGATTCTGTCATGCAAATGTCAGTGTGTATCTACACACACCAAGTGGGATGCCCGCTACACACTTTCGCTGTAAGGTGCAGCCTAGGGGACCCCTTCATACATGCAGCCCGGTGCTGATCAAAATGTGTTTAAGTGACACATGATTATGGTCTGTTCCTTTTTATCACTCAGTAGCTTTTCCTGGGGCTACCATCTTTCCACGACCTTCTCCTCCATGTGTCGCTCTCAAGTCCACCTCAGCCTCTTGTGAGGACACTTGTCACTGGATTTAGGATGCCCCTGAATAATCCAGAATCATCTCATTTCAAGATCCTTAACTATATCCACGAACACTTGTTATCCAAATGAAGTCACATTCACAGATTCTAGGTGTTTAGGCACAGATATCTCTGGGGTGTGGTGGGTCACCATTGAGCCCATGATCATAATTAAACTATTTCCCCAAATTTGCACAGGTAGGAAGGGTCACATTGCAGCCATCTGGGCTGTAGACATGCACATCACAACTGCTCTATGACAGCAGGTTATATGTTCATCAGGGAGAATACTCCCTAGTTAGAAAATACATGCAGCATCTAATATGTGATATCTGCAAAGCATAGGAAAGTACTATACTTAGTCTTCCTTAAAACATACTAAGTTCAAAATTATTGCATAAAAGTGCTGTGTACTGTCTCAAAAGTGATTTATTTCATTTAGAAAATTCTGAAGTAGCCACATCACCTTTCTCTGTTTTAGTCTCTTCACATCATTATGATTTATTATTATTCAGTGGATTTAAATACAAATCAACAACTCTGACACTTACAGTAACTATTTCATCCTGATTCAAGTAGTTTGGCTTCTCTTAATGGATTTAACAATTGTAATTGTCATACTCAATCAGGATGCCACAGTGTTCTCCTAACACGGGAGGCACATCTCTGTGTAGGCTCTGTTGACTACAGTGGCTGAACCACACCCCGGGGAAGAGCAAAGAAGAAATCACTCGTTTGAAAATTTTGTCTCAAAATTTCTTATGTCTTATTTCACTTTTTATTTTTATTTTACTTTTTGGTTATAAATTAGAAAAAATAAACTATGGCTGTTAAAGCTGTTTCTTAGAGACTTTTAAGATACTATACCCCTATGGCTTTTAAATGATCCATTAGTTGGGGAAGAAACTGGAGAAAGAATAATAATAGTCTTTTAACTCCATTTGTCTGAAAGAGAAATTAATCCTCTGCATGATTGCATAATGATGGAACATTATCAACCTCACTTCTTAATGGTCCATAACAAAATAAAATACTCAGAGGACTGATGAGCAAAAGACCCAGCAAAAAATCACACTTACCTGCTCTGAGCACCATTAAAGCAAATGAGAAAATAGCCCATTTTTAGAGAAATTAATTTGTGTGATAGACAGCCAACCAGAATTCTTTTGGCAGGAGTATCCTTTTTTTAAACATCTCGTTATTGCTTTGGGCACCAAAAAACATATTTGCATGCAGCAGTCATTTAGTAAAAGAGTCAAAAAACAAACAGTTAGGCTGAAAGATACTGTCTACTTTCAAATACAGAAACTGTAACTAAACCAAACACAGTTCAGGTACAAATATAGAATTTTCAAACCCAATTAGAGAGAACCATTATCTTTCTCACAAAATTGTCGTAGCTTGCAAAACCTTTGTTACTTTGCTTTGACAGGCAAGCTATTTTTTCTTTCTTGTTATAGATCACAATATTCTTGCCAGATATCAGATATTAACTGCATTTTTTTTCACCCCTGTGTGTCCAAGGAATCTTTTTTATTGTCTCATTTGTCTATAATAGTAATAAGATATAGAGAAGAAAGCAATCAATCGACAGCAGTTATTGAGCAATTTACTGGGTTAGCACTGTCCTAGGTGGAGGAGGGAAAACAGAGGAAGCACAAACAGGATATAATTAAAAATCAAAGTGGTAGAGAAAGTGCTTTAGGAAGCAATAGTGAATAAAAGCTTCATAGGAATTGGAGCTTGGTCTTAAAGTTCATGTAGAACAAATATTGTGAGAAAAATTTTCCAACACAAGTAAAGACACAGTGGTGGGAATACACAGTCTATGTGTGCTCATTTATCACAACAGCCACCAACTTGGCACTCAGTGGATCATTAAATGATGACAAATGCATGCAAATAACATTGATAGAGGGGTAGTCCTGCATCTTAAGATTTTCTGGAGCTATTCAGAGTCCTTTAACATGGTGCAGGAAGCAAGCAAGTACACCATGGTTGACTCCATTATTTTATAGTAAAAATTGGCCAGTTCATACACCAAAATTAGCAGCAGCGTTGCTGAAACATGCACAAAGCCAGGGTTTTAACTCTTATTACAAGGTTTCCACTGGGTAGTCTGGGGGTAGAGGGACAGGGGATAGAGTAAGTCAAAGGAGTTTGAAGGGATCTTTAACTTACTTGCTTTTTCCAGCCTTTGTCTTGAGTATCCAATGATGCAATTGGTTTTGTTTTTTTTTTCTTTTTTTTTAAGATTTATTTATTTATGCATACAAGAGCTGGGGCACAGGCCAGAGATGTGGAGGGGTGAGCGGATTCCCAGGGACAGAGTGGGGAGCAGAACAGGCAGACTGACTGAAATACACTGCTGAGGGGAGCAGCGGACGAAATAGGAGAGGTCTGCTTCACGATGTGGATTGCTCCCTGCCGGCTGGGGATCAAACTCGTGCTGCAGAGGCTGCAGATTGCTTCACAGTGTGGTGCTTAACCCTTGTGCCACCAGGGAGCCCCAATGATGCAGTTTTGCTATAGCAACATCAATATATTCATGAGAGCACATCTGTGAATGATGGGTGATGGGAGCTTTTCTCTTCAAACTACACATTCAATTTCATCAAAAAAGATAAACTCTTGCCATTTGCCACAACATGGATGGAGCTGGTAGGAATTATGCCAAGGGAAATAAGCCAGAGGAGAAAATAAAAACTGGATGGTGTCAGGGGCAAGAAGGTGGCCTCGCGGTGACCAGATGCCAAGGGATGAAAATAGGTTCTTGATTCACCATGGCACTAGCAGCAGTAAAATGGGCCATATCAAACAGAACTATCTTGAAACATTTATTTCCAATTCAAAATGAAGCTTTATATTGTGTTCATCATAAGTCTACAAATTCTTCTCTTCCAGATGACAATAATTGCAAATTAGAGCTTGCTTTGACATCTGACAACAGGACAATAGTATGCTATCACCCATCTGTGGACATTCCATATGAACACACAAAACCTATCCCTTGGCCAGACCCTGTACATAATAATGAAGAAACACATGATCAAGTGCTAAAAACCAGATTAGAAGAAAAAGGTGAACACTTTGAGCAAGGACCCATGATAGAACAACTTAGCAAAATGTTCTTTACTACTAAGCACCAATGGTATCCTCGTGGACAGTATCATAGATGTAAGAAACTGGACCCTCCAAAAGACAGATGATGATATCAAAGTTCTCAAGAGTCAAAGAAATGTTATCTTATGTCTCATTTTCCATTTAGAAAATGCAATCTGGCATATTAACAAATTTAGAGTGAAATAATAAAAATATATTAGGGAAAAAACTGGATGGTGTCACTTATATGTGAAATATAGAAAACCAAACGAAGGTCAGACAAAGATGAACTTTAAAACCAATCCTTGTAAGCTGACCAAAGACCTGTGACTTTCAGGGGGGATAGGTGGAAGGAAGGGTGAGCATATGGATCATGGGGACTATAGGTGCTTGGTGGTGAGAGTGCTAGTGACAACACCAGAGGAAATCCTACATTGCCAAAACACTAGCAAGGATATATAACAACAGTACTTCAATAATATAATACTATTAAATAACTATGAACAAGTTCAATGAGGCAACCATAATCTCCATCTGCATTGGTGCTATGTTGTGCTCAAACTCCAAGCCTAGCTAGCTGGAGAGAGAGCACTGCTCATTAGATACCACAGAGTCTGAGTCTTCTCGTCATTTCTGAAGCTCTCTTTTGCCTTTAAATGGTACCCACAGAGGATTAAAATGTGCTTTTTAGCAGTTATTGGATATATTGGCTAAAGGCTTATGTTTCTGCTCTTTGATTTTAGAGCAGATGGTTAATGAATGTGTTGTGTGTGCGCGTGTATGTATTCAAATGGGTTTCTATAAAAAGGAAGCCAGAAATTCAATTGAATTCTTTCATTTTTCCATAGGTCGCCATTGATGTCATTACCCCTGTGCATTCAGAGCTCTCAAAAAGGTCATGATCTTCAATAAGTCTCAACTTCTCTAATATATTTAAATCTTATTTTTAATATGAGGTAAATCTTACTTATATTGAAATATTAACAATTCCACTTGGCTTCTACCAAATGCCATGCAGCAGAGGAATGATATCGCATGTACTCAGCCATAGATCTCTTTTCTCTTTAGATTCCTCTCACTATTCATGATCAAAACTGCTTCTCTATAGTTTTATCAGAAAGAAAGAAAAAAAAAGTAGGAAATAGCATGTTCCATATGTCTTCTTTCACACCTGTACTTATTGGTATGAACCAAATATACTGTAATGTAATATATATGTTATATTAGATGCAATATAATGCTCTTCTTCTGTATCAGAGGACAGGATTAGTATCAACATAATAGATGGACTTCATACCTGCAGTCCCCCTAGGACCTAGTTTAGCTTGCTATGTTCCTGAACTCATGAGCTGACAAACTGTTGTTTTGTGAAGTACTAGCAGGAACTATAGATTAAAAATCCTTTAAACCTTACTGGAGGGACTCCCGGTGGCACAGCGGTTGAGCGCTGGTTGCGAAGCTGCCCACAGCCTCTGCTGCGCCAGTTCGATCCCCGGCTGCTCCCCAGCCACCAGAGGAGGGTCCCACATGGCGCACAGACCTCTTCTGCCGCCCGCTGCTCCCCTCAGCAGTGTACTTTGGTCCTTCTGCCTGCTCTGCTCCCCGCTCTGGCTCTGGTAAATTCTCTCACTCTCCTGCACTTCTGACTGTACCCAGTGCTTGTATAAATAAATAAAAAAATAAATCTTTAAAAAAAAAAAAAACCCTTACTGGAAAAACTAAAGCCATCCCAGATGACAAATAAAAGAGTGATGTCTTATTTTATATTAAAATATTTAAATATAGTAATATAGAATGATATTTCTTCTCAAATGTTACTCTAATGTTGAGGCATGTGTTATAGAATACATTTCATCACACTTTGTAAATTACATATAAATATGTACAAAGAGCAAGAGATATGAAATATGCAAAGTTATTCTGCAAATAAACACTTACCTGAAAACCACCTAAGAGGCATGTTTGTAGGGATACCTCTCATCACATCCTTTGCCCAAAAACCTCACTTTTTCCCTTGTGAATTTATCACCTACCAGTCAACATTTTTCTTTTTTTTTTTTTTTATAGAGGCATGTTTTTATTTATTTATTATTTGTCGTTTGTTTCGTTTATACATGCACTGGGTACATCAGAAGCGCTGAGAGAATCACCAGAGCCAGAGCAGAGCAGAGCCAGAAGGACCGAATACACTGCTGAGGGAGCAGCTCAGGAGAGTCTGCGCACCATGTGGGACCCTCCTCTGGTGCCGGGAGCAGCGGGAATCGAACCGCCTCAGAGGCTGGCAGCTTCGCAACCCAGCGCTCAACGCTGCGCCACCGGGAGGCCACCAGTCACATTTTCAAATGCATTTCATCTCTGTATTATTTTCCTTACAAGGGCCCAACCTGTGATGCTTCTTTTTGTGTGCTTTTCTGTGATTCATAATTTTTATCTTGAAAATATCATCTATAACATTTCAAACCAAGTTCAATACTCAACAATGAGAAACTATTCAGAAACACAACACAGGAGACACCAACGAGATCTCCCAGAGGGTTAAGTACTCCTGATAAGAGTAAATTCAACCACTGGAGGTCGACATTGCTCCACTCCACTCCCATGAGAGGGCACCATTATGTATGGAAAAATATACCCCACCAACTCGCTTGGCAAGTCCAAATGAAACAAATTTATATAAAATGAAGTCACCCACCTCCACAACTTACTGGGTTTCTGTTACATCTCTAGATTAGTTCACACAATGATACCAAACACCCACAAAAACAGTATAACATATAGAGAGCACTTTATGTTAGCTAGCTTAGATCTGGACAGATTAAAGGTAGGTGGATGCAATAAGCTTCCTGTCTACTCTAACACACATTTTTTTTTTAATAATAAATTTTATTTTTATATTCCCCATACAATTGCAATCCCCCATTCTGACCCAATCCCTCCCCTCCCGCCCCCAACCCCAAAAAGTGTCTCTGGTTCATAGTTTTTGTTGATTTTGATTGTCACTCTCTTATAGTTATTCATTTTCCTGGTCCCTTATTTAAGTTTTCTAGATTCCTGCTACCGGATGGTCTCACTCTAACACACATTTTTAATGACTTAAAGAAGCTTTAAACTTGCTTATATGTATACCATATATATTGAGGTACAATTACTTTAAAATGATCTCTTTTTACTTTTAATTAGTCCTAGTCTTTCTAGACAAGAAATGGGTTGGTAACTCAATATAAGTATAGTCATACGGACTGTCTGTACATATTGATAGCCCCACCTAGTCCAATGGGTGGCATTCAATAGAGTTTATTAAACAACAGCATAAATGGATGAATGGGCAAATGAGAGAAAATGAATGGAATTATCTAGAAATTGATATAAAAATTAGATAAAATATATATTAGTGACAACCTCTTTCTTTAATAAATTTAATGTAAAAGTCATATACCCTATGGATGGATCTTTGCTAGAAAATTATTTCAGAATTTTTTTTTAAATGGCAGAAACATCACAAAATGGGAAAGTCTGTACAGTGACTCTGACATTCCAAAGTTATTTACACAAGGTCCATGTATCTCATTAGGGCAAGGAGAAATATTCATGTTTAGGGAACTGGTCTGTATGAGCTAGTTCATCCTAAGCCACAACCCAAAATCTCAGTACCTCAAAACAACAAAGGCTTCCTCTTCACCTATGTGACATGTCCACAGAGTTGCAACATTTTCTGCTTTACATCTTCCCTCATTAGGGCCTGACCAATGGAACAGCTCCCATCTCAAATGTTCCCAGTCACCACGACAGAAAAGAGAGCTCCACAGAGCCTCTCAATGGCAACTAAATGCACTTGCATGGACAGACCCATTACCTGCCCCACCAGCAGCACAATCTCACTGGGTGTGCAATGGAGAAAGGCAACCGAAATACTTCGTACCTAACAGCTACCACATTTAGAAAGTGAATCCAGACTGGTTTCCATTAAAACAATAAAATCCTATATATTTCTTTAAAGAATCATTAGTTAAGGTGTATTTAAACCCTAGCAATTTAATTTTCTTGGTTTGTAAGCAAGTAAAATTCACCTGGAGTTTCAGCATGGTCTGCTGTGCGCAAGCAGGAGGCCGCAGGACGTCTCTCCCCTGCATCTGTGGTCGCTTGCCATGCAGAAGAACACCTATAAAGGAGGATGACTGTGAATATAAGTTTTTAGGGAAGACTTTTTGCAAGTTATGAGCAGCAGAGATGTTAGAGGGCAAAGATTTAAATGCGAGGGCAAAGATTTACATGCCAATATGGATGTTGAAGGTTTTCTAGAAGAGAGAATGTTTGCACGCCTATTCACAATTTACCTGCCAGCACTTTCCACATCATATACAGGCCAGTAAAGAGGAAGAAGCACAGGGTGGCATTAGGTTGTAAATTCAAGGAGCCTCTGGAAGAACATTTTGAATACTGAATATTGAATATGTCTCCTCAGGAGTCAACAAAGATTGATGAGGAGAAAGTGTGAAGGGGACAGGATTTATAATCCATTAATGTTCCCAGCATCTCCACCCACCCTAGTGAAGAGAAGGAGGTGCCCTCCCTCGTACCCCCTACTCTGCCTTCAGGGGAGATTCTCTACAGCTAGCTCAAGGACTCTCCAAAGGCTGAATTAGCAAAAGGCAGAGAACAATTGAAGCTTAGAATGCAGAAGAGAAGAAGGAAAACTTAAGGAGTGAATGAAAGGAAGTAGAAGAGAGTGGAAAAAGTTGAGGGAGAAAGAGAAGCAGGGGAAGGAAGAAAGTAAGTTTGGGGTTCAAAGAAAAATATTTCATATTTCATTTATATGTTGGTGGGTAAAGGGTCACCTATGAGTAGCTCCACATAAAATGATATGAAAGAAAATTGTGAAGGGAAAAAGGCCCGTAAGAAATGTTCCCTGGCTTATGAATTGCAGTCCTTTAATTGTTTTCCAGAAAAAAAAATTTCATTATGTTCGTTATTTGGACACGTTTATTTGAATATAATTTTTTCTAAGGTCTGCTATTATTTTTAAATATACAGGAAAACAATTATTCTGTTTTATTTAGAAATGTACAGATTAATATGCTAAGATACCTTGAAGAAATGTGAGCATTTTCTTTTTTATATATATACTTATTT